TGGGGAGGGGGAAGGGCTACTTTGATTCAAGATGGCAGTAAGCAGGTTCGAGGCCAGCCTGGTCACAGAGTGTGTTCCAGGACAGCCAGTGCTACACAGAGAAACCCTGTCTGGAAAAACAAAACAAACAAACAAAAAAGCAGTGTAATGGGGGAAGGGTTACTTTGACTCACGGTTTGAGGGTACAGTCCATCCTGGTACGGATGGCCCTGTGGCAAGAGCTGAGGCAGCTGGTCACATGACCTTATTTGGAACTATAATCACAGCAGATAAAATTAATTAAAATGAGGTTATACTCAAGAAGGGTGGACTTTAATCCACTATGACTGTACACACACACACACACACACACACACACGGAGTAAAGCACCTAAAAGCCAAGGAATCCAAAGAGGCAGCAAACCATGGCTGGATCCCCAACTTTTTTAGATTCCCCTGCCTCGAGAGGGGGGCGTGACCCTTCCCCAGTAGCTGTCCAGACCCAAGGAGGTGGAAGAAAAAGGAGAAGGCATGGGATTTGGAACGACAGTGAAGAGCTGGAGTTCTGCCCTTACCCTGCTACTTCTTGAAGTCATTAAAAAATAGTACCAGAGCTGGAGAGATGGTTCAGTGGTTAGGAGCACTGGCTGATCTTCCAGAGGACCTGGGTTTGATTCCTAATACTCACACGGCAGCTGGCAGCTGCCTATAACTCCAGTTCCAGAGGATCTGACACCCTCCTCAGGTCTCCATGGGCACTGCATGCACATGGTGCATGGACATTCATTCAGGCAAAAGGCCCATACACAAATAAAATAATAGTACTTATGCACAATGGCTCCTGCAGACTACCCAGGCAGGAGGGGTTAGCACCTGAGCATCGTGAGTAAAAAAAGCTTAGAGCCTGAGACTTGACTGTTTCCTTGGGGACATGCTCAGGGCGGAGTCTGCAGAGAGGGGAGGGTGGACCAGGGCTACATTGGGTGTTGTCTGGCTTGGGGATCACTGTAGTGATGCCATGTTACCTGGGGGACGTCTGGGGCTGGAGCCAGACTCCAGGTCGAAGGAGGGGATGCAGGATGGCAGGGGGGACGCAGGATGGCAGGGGGGACGCAGGATGGCAGCGGGGACGCAGGATGGCAGTGGGGACGCAAGATGGCAGCGGGAGCCTTCCTGGGGAAGTTTGTCTGGTGCCAGGCTCCTGTGAAGGATGGAGACCTTGTTCCAACATCTTCGTGGTTGGCTCCCAGTGAGAAGGAAGCTGGTCCTATGAGATCCCTTAGAAGTCTGAGAGGAGGCACAGAAGAGCAGAAACGGTGTGTGTGTGTGTGTGTGTGTGTGTGTGTGTGTGTGTGTGTGTGTGTGTGTGTATGTACGCGTGCGTGCGCAGCTAGTGGTATTCTGGGGAACTAGTTCATTTTTGAAAAATTCCAGAATTCTCAAAGGGAAATATGAGCTTCTGTCCCAGCCCCCCAGTTCTCTATTCTAGTTCCTTCTACTGCCTCTGGGCAGCTTGTACACCGCTTCTCTCGAAGACTTCACCCCAAGGGACAAAAACTCCCACAGGCTGTGGACCCACTGTGTGCCAAATTGGAGACCTAGTCAGAACCAGGAAGACAAGGATTTGCTGGATTCATTCAACAACTCCAAGAAGTGGAGGTCATGTTCCGATGAGTTCAGGAAAGGGGTCTGGTTAAGGGGGGTGCGGTCTTCCAAGTCTTGGAGGACGTGATGGCTAATCTTGGTTGTCCAATTGACTGCAACTGGAATCGACTCTAACACAAGCTGATGGGCACTCCTGTGAGGGATTTCTTGATCTGATGACCGGAAGCAGCGAAGACCCGCCCTAAAGATGGATGCCCCCCTGAGTGGCAGCCACCTAAAAGACCATGCGGGAAGGGAGCTTGGCTTTTTGCCTACTTGCCCTCACTCCGGCTGGCAAGTTCGTCTATGCTGATGCCGCAGCATCCCTTCAGCGATTCTAAAGCTGGCTTCTCTGAAGACTAGGAGTCCTCCAGGCCCCTGTGCCATACTGGGACTGTCGAGACTTCCAGCCCTGTGGACTAAAGGACTACTGGATCCTCAGATTCTCTGGTGTGAGACAAATATTGTTGGACCACCCAGACTGCATTCCACAAGCCAACGTAATAAACCCCTTCTGTGTGGTTTATCAGTTCGGTTCCTGTAGAGAACCCTACTAGAGGGACAGTAGTGTCCCGACCTCTGGCCTGAGGACTCAGTGGGGATAGGATAACCCTAAGGCGGGGAGAGGGTCAGGGCATCAGAGGTTCTCAGAGGAAGGCTGCTCCAAGGACCCTCGCTCTGTCCTCTTTACCCACTAGCCGCCTCGAGAAAAATCTAGAAAGAGAAGGCAAAGTTTCTATTTTTGATGAGACACAGAAGAAGGCTTTTAAATTATTAAAATCCAGAAGTAAATTATTTATTCAGGTCAGATATAAAAGCGTCTCTCATTTTATGCCCATTATCCCCCCTGGGGGCTGTCACTGATGTGCTTCCCTGTGACAAGTCATTTGTCTGCACAGGGCATGAGTGATCTCATCTGTAACATGGGTTGGACTAGGATGGCTAGGAGCTTCTAGTGTTCAGAGGAGCCTAAAGACCCAGCTAAAACCGGCTTCCTCCAGGAAGCCTTCCCACCTGCCCCCCAGGCTTGCATAGCCTCCCCTTCTCAGGTCAGAGCACTCACTCCTCCACACTGCCACCAGTTCACACCTGGCTCCCCACCACACTGCCACCAGTTCACACCTGGCTCCCCACCACACTGCCACCAGTTCACACCTGGCTCCCCACCACACTGCCACCAGTTCACACCTGGCTCCCCACCACACTGCCACCGGTTCACACCTGACTCCCCACCACACTGCCACCGGTTCACACCTGGCTCCCCGCCACACTGCCACCGGTTCACACCTGGCCCCCCACCACACTGCCACCAGTTCACACCTGGCTTGCCACTGGTTCACACCTGGCTCCCCACCACACTACCACCGGTTCACACCTGGCTCCCCACCACACTACCACCGGTTCACACCTGGCTCCCCACCACACTGCCGCTGGTTCACACTTGGCCCCCCACCGCACTGCCATCAGTTCACACCTGGCTCCCCACCACACTGCCGCCGGTTCACACCTGGCCCCCCACCACACTGGATGCTCCTTGAGTTCTGGACCAAATTACATTATCTTCTGCATCCTCAGGATCCACACAGTATCCTGGTTAGTGTTTGAGTGAATGAATGAGTGACTGTGTCTAAGAAAGGTGTGGTGCCCTCTTTGTCCTGGGAAGGATGGACTGTTTATTGCTTCAAGATCTCGGCCCAAGAAACCCCATTAAGTTTGTACAATCACACATCCTTGGTATTTCTGAGATTATTTCCCCTTGAGGATTCAGCTTGGGAAGGGAAGATATTTGGTTGCCATAGCAACAGATTTTTTTTCCCCCTCTGTTAGAGCAAACATTTCCAAGAAACCTGGAGAGATGGCAGTCAGAGGAATGAACACTGTGTCTCCTCCCACACCCACAAAGGCCTCTGAGCCCACAATGGGCCCTCCTGCTTCCTGAGACCCATATGAGTAGATACAAGGTCCATACATAGCCCAGTGGCTTCCTTGATTTCCCACACACATCCTCTAGCCATACAACTGACCACATCACCCTGGGCCTTTCTTTTCCCATCCTCAAGGCCCAGGGCCCTCACAAGGGGCCTCTGGAGAGGCAGAAGGAAGAGGCTGTTTCAGAGAAGGATTCGCCAACCCTGTCAGCCTCAGACTCACTGGCCTGGAGAAGCTTGAGATCTGGGGCAATCACCCCAGGACCAAACCTCAGGGAGGCCACAGGGCTTTCTCTAGAACATACAACCAATGAGCTGCATTAGTAGGATTTGAATCCGGCCCTGGTGATGAAGCCTGTTATTTCACCTCTTTCCAGAAATGGCACAGAAGCAGAGCTCAAATGTTTGCGTGCGCACAGTACCACACGGGCACTGAGAGGGATGAGGGCCCAGCTGATGCCCAGCACAGCCTATCTGTGGCCTGTGGAGTTCCTACTAGCCCTTTGAGACTTTCAGATGGGACACAGTACTCAAAGAAGCTCTGTGACTTTGGCTCATGAGCGCTGGGGATGCTGGGAGTCCTGCAGGCTGTGACGCTGTGGTTTCGCACAGCCCTGGCTTGTGTGCTCACTGTCTTGCTGAGCGCAGTCAAGGTGGAGAAGAAGAACAGCTAGGACACACCCGAGCCAGGGTAGAAGCAGGCTCGCTGGAGCCCACGGCACAGGATAAACCACCCCTACATGGGAGAGAGCCATAGCACCAGCCAGGTTCCTTACTGGAGCGACAGAACGTGCAGACACCTACCATGCAGTCAGGAGAGGTGGCTGGGCTCGGTGACCAAGAGCAGGGACTCTGGGACCCTCTCCATCACCATGATTACCTTCGACAAGGCAATAAGCACCATAAACTCATTGATAAGGACAGACAGCTCAGGGTTACAGCCTATAGATCTGACCACAGCCGGGATTTGAATTTTAGTTCTACCCCTCTAGGATGACTTTGAATTCGGGGAAGCTAATTATTCTTTCTGCACATTGGTAGTATGCCTGTCTTCCCAGAAACAGTTGGTATCGTTGGCTTCCAAGTTCCTCCTCACCCTCGCTGGTGGGCTTTGCCTTGGCTGTGGCCTCAGCACGGGCGCCAGGAAAGGGGTTGCCGTGGCACCATGAGAAAGCAGAATCCTCACATTCTGGCAGCCAAAGATCAGCTCAGAATCTCACAACCTTGTTGGTGGCCCCCTTCCCGTCATTCTAGAACGCCCTCTCCCTGCCCAGAGCCCACTTCCCATCTCAGAGCCTCCAACGCCCAGCATCCCTTGAGATATGTGGATCTGTGGTGCTTAGCTGCCCACACACAGCAGCGCCTGCCTCCCGGTACAGCATCTCCTGTTCTCATCTCCATGACAACATGCACCAGCCCTGAGCAGGACCACTGTTGCTGAGCTAACCCTGAGGCTGGGCCCCACGCTCTTTGGCTACCCATCTGGGAAGTGTGTGTGTGTGTGTGTGTGTGTGTGTGTGTGTGTGTGTGTTAGGGTGAACCCACGCACCTGCTTAAGCTAAGATTTAGTATTCACTCCTGTTCTTGTCACACACACTCACATACACACACACACACACACACACACACACACACACACACACACACACACAGACACGCACTCACAGGCCAGAGTGACGTCATGTGGGTGTGCACTGGGGTACCTATGAATGAGAGCACAGGCATTGAAAATACTAGCCCCTCATCCAACAGCCTGAGTGTGAGGGTCCACTGGTTCTGGGGCCCTCCGGGCATGACCCAATGTATGTCATGTTTGTGGCCACATATCCTCTGTGGGTTTGTACTTATCAACACGCCTGCATCTCTGGGTGTATAATTCAATTTGTGCATCTGATCATCGGTGTTTGCATCTCCAACAGACTAGAGGTATGTTCTTCTGCTCTCCACTGATTCTTTTGCTTCGGTACTAGGAAAAGGTCTGGGTCTGGCATGCTCTCCCAGGAATCTAGAGCCCCTGCCGTAGCTAAAAGGGATGAATCACCGCTGTGTTCTCAATGAGCTCTTAATCTAGGGGCACAAAAGGCTCCCTCCGCTTTGGCCTCCAGGATCCTCGTCATTTTCTCAGGACGTACTTCTTATGTTTTGTTCAGAGGAGGGAACTGTAAAAAGGACCCCAGCCAAGACATAAAGCGAAGGGACATTTAGTTACAGTTCTGCTAACAGCTGGTCATGTGGCTTTGTACAGGCCAGTCTCCTGTTGGTAGTGATTCCTCATGAGCTGTCCAGTTTTTCTCGTCCAGAATGACAATTGGCTGACTCTATAATTCTTCTCATACACATTATTTCCTGTCATCTCCTTGGCCACCTCACTGGGTGCATGTTACTGCCCCAGCTGAGAAGGGTGTGGAGAGAAGTATAAAGACTGGATTCAGTCTGCCAGGCCGCTCGACTGGGAGGCCCCTCCTTACCCTTTCCTGCTGACAGGGCCATCGATCAAAGAGGAAGCTGTCGGAAAGCAAAGAGGCGAAGCTGTGAGGCTGCCAGGCCGGGGAGCAATAATGTGTGGGCCTCTGAGATCACAGGCTGCATGAGGTCAGGCAAAGCCTAGACTCAAGGAGCAACGGGGGATTGATATGTCCCAGAGTGGGATCCAAGTCAGGTAAGAGAAGCCCTTGGTGCAGAGATTCAGGGACCAGAACCCTGAGGACACTGACCTACAACACAAGGAAGCCAAGCTTGTGTGCTCTCAAGTGTGAGCCGGTATGTATGCGCCTGCTCATAAGAAAGGTGCTCAGTTCTAAGATTGACAGCCTGTGTTTGATCCGCAGAATCCACATGGTGCGAGGAGAGATCCAACTTCTGCAGGTTGTTCTTGGACTTCTACACACACACACACACACACACACACACACACACACGTGCATGAGTATGAACCTGTAAGTCCATGTGCTGTGGAATAATCCTCTTGTACACTGTCAAGATCTGTCACTTGAATTGTTTTAATAAAACTCTGATTGCCCAGTAGCCAGGCAGGAAGTATAGGTGGGGCAATCAAACTAAGGATGCTGGGAATAGGAAGGGTGAAGTCAGGAGTCTCCAGCCAGATGCAGAAGAAGCAAGATGAGAATGTCACACTGAGAAAAGGTACCAACCCATGTGGCTAAACACAGATAAGAATTATGGGTTAATTTAAGTGTAAGAGCTAGTGAGTAACAAGCCCGAGCTACCAGCTGAGCATTTATAATTAATGTAAACCTCTGAGTGATTATTTGGAAGTAGCTGTGGAACAAGGCGGGGCAGAGAGAAAACTCTGTCTACTGCCATGGTGTGGGAAAGGAGAGAAAAAAGCTACTGAGTTATTTAGGTGGAGACTGGAAGAGGAGAGCTAGCAAGGCAATGCTGAGTGAGGGTATTTGATTACTACAACAACCTAGATATACCTGGGAAGAGGGAAATTCATTTGAGGAATTGTCTCCATCAGATTGGCCTGCAGGGCATTTTCTTGATAGCTGATTGATGTGGGAATGTCCAGCCCACTGTGGGTGGAGCTACCACTGTGGCATGTGGTCCTGATGCTATTTAAGAAACCAACCTGAAGCTGGGCAGTGGTGGTGCACACCTTTAGTCCCAGAACTCAGGAGGCAGAGGAAGGCGTATCTCTGTGAGTTCGAGGCCAGCCTGGTCTACAGAGTGAGATCCACGACAGGCACCAAAACTACACAGAGAAACCCTGTCTCGAAAAACAAAAACAAACAAACTGAGCAAGCCATGGGGAGCAGGCCAGCAGGGAGTGTTCCTCCATGGCCTCTGCTTCAGTTCCTGTCTCCAGTTCCTGCCTTGCCTTCTCTTGATGATGGACTGTAACCTGGAAGCCAGATAAACTTTTGCTTCCTCCAGGTTGCTTTTGGTCAGTGTTTTATCACAGCTACAGGGAAGTAAACTACAAACCTGAGTTGTTCGCAGGAGCATGGGCAAAGGGTTCCTTACAGGACAGCGGTTTGCAGCACCAAAGAGCCCCACGTCGGTAGGGTGGCAGCTCACAGCAAACCACAGCATCGAGGAGCCCCTGCTCCCAGCCAACTGTCCACCTCTTAGGTACCCTAGAGCCTGCCAATGACATGCACAGCGGGGTGACGAAGAAATCGTGACAACCCACCCCCACCCCCCTTCCCACAGGAAATGGAGCAGCCTCAAATCCATTACCAAAGACCTGTTTTTTTTTTTTTTTTTTTCTCATTGCCATGACTGTGGGCCAAGGTGTTCTGTAAGTCACCATGGCAACTGCTCCATGATGGTGGATGCTTGGGAGGAAGTAGCCTGGCCGTAACAGCCAACCCTATGGGGGCTCTTCAGCATGGCTGTTGAGAACAGAGGGTCTCTTCTAGGGAAAGCCTGAAGCTGCTAGTCAGTGTAATCTTGACTCTGCTGCAGCCAGCAGGACGAGATCTGCCTGAACAGCACCTGCAGGGCTTTGTTGAAATGACTGAGCAGGGCTCCGGGAGAGGGCTGGGGAGGGTTTACACACCAGTGAACACAGCCATGAGGACCTGCGACACACCAGGAACGCAAGGACGTGGGTGTTGGGACCCAGTCCGGCGCTCCCGCCCTTCCGAAGTCAGCTATGAAAGGCACGATGGAGCTGGTCTTGTTCTGCCCTTCAGCTCCGCCTGGTCCTTTCTTGAGGGTGTTTCGTTCTCCTGGACTCAAGAGCTTGGCTAGCCCATGGGTTTCTTGCAGTGACAAAGAGGAAAGTGGAAGGCAGGCCACATAGAGACCCTACTCACCAACACCCCCAAACCGGGTAACTTTGGACAGTGGACCACGTATACAGTTGCGCATGCTGTCCCGACCTGTGTACCACACTGTCCAGGAAATGTAAAATATATAGATGCCTGGTCCTGGCATAGCATAAAGCCCTGTCAGGTTCTCACCTGAGTGATTTCCTCTGAGCCCTGATTTTTAAGGCCTCAGGCTGCTGCTCCAGGGTCAGAGCTCAGTGAGCAAGTTCGGAATCACATGACCCAGTGTTTTCTTCCTCCTGTCCTGCCCTCCTCACCTCCCACCCGACCCTGTTTAGTCCTCGGCAACTGTATGCGGCTTGAACTACATTTTTTGAAAGGTTTGAGATGAGTCATCTTTAGTTTCCCACATCTTAGAGACCTCTAGAGGCCACAGACTCACCCCCTAAGAGTGCAAGACACTCCTGAAATGTTAACAGTCCTTCTCATCCTCCGAGGTCCCCAAAAACACCTAGTCTCAGAGACGGGCCAAGTCTTCTGCCCACCCTGGATGTTCTGTTAGTTTTTATATTTTGCTCGCTGTTAGAATACGTGTAGCTTTCTGGAAGCAGCTGAGGTTGATTCTCCAATGTGTTGTTCCTCCAAGCGATAATTCTAGAAACTCATTCCCTTGTCTTTGGGAGTAATAACCTGATTAGCAGGACACCAGACAGAAACCACAGCCTTAATTTCTAGCCTTGGGGGTGGGGGGAGCCAGACAGGATCATCCCAGCTGTGGGGAGAGGTAGTTCTGTCTGTGCCAGGCCGAATGACTGCTTGGAGCATCGTTAGGATTCAGGAGGCTCCATCCGCTCAGTTCTCTCTGAGCTATGAGGCTGGAAATAAATAAGTAAATAAGGCAGATGGCACTGCATCCTGCCTGCAAAAGCTGAGCCAGGGAGACGAGTTACCGCTGTCGTTTCCAGCGGAAGGGAGCCCCCAGGAAATGCTCCTCTCTGGGGACTGCATGAGGAACTGGGGACTGCAAAAGGAACCAACTATGAGCTCCATTCGACCATGAAAACAAATAAACAGGAAAGGTTGCTCACATATGGCTTCCCTTGCCGACAATCAGCTGGATCTGTGGTAAGCACCAGGGGCTACGTGCCTGGATGAAGACCTTGCTGAGCCGATGCAAGGTCGAACATGGAGGTTCAGGGCGGCAGACAGCCTACACTCACATATTTAACAAGCATCGGGGCTTGCTTTCTGCTCCTAAGCTGAGCTCACTTTCTTAGGCTCAAGAGGAACACGAACTGCAGCCATGCTCCCAGTGCCCACGAAGAGAGCCCGGGGAGCCCTGTCTGCATTGTTACAGGGTACAGGGAAGAAACTCAAACAGATGAGGCCCGCAGGAGGGCCAGACCGGCAGGACCGTTGACGGGTGCAGGCAGGGCACTCAATGAGGGAAGGACAGGAAGGAAGGCAGAGTGAGCAGGCAGGCGGGGCTGGGCAGGCAGCGCGGGGCAGGGCTGGTTTCCTCTCTAGCATCTATGCAATGGTGTGCTTTATCATTTTCAGCAGCTGCTATGGTCATCCCACTTTCCTTCCCCATCTCTAGATTCTCAGACTAAGTAGGACTTGCAGACACAACCCCATGGGCTCTGTGACGCCATTGCACTGCATCCTTGTTCAGAAGCCAGATGTTTGGTGTCTTTCAGACACACACACACACACACACACACACACACACACACACACAAGTATGTACACACATGCACACATACACACACCGTTGAATTTCTACTAAATGTTGTAATATTAAGGGGCAGGTCTTTTAAGGTATGACATTAATATCATTAATGCTGTCTTGTGGGCTGGGTTAGTTATCATGGGAGCAGGTTCCTGATAAAGACTGAGTTTGGCTCAATTTTCTCTCTAGCATGCTCGCTGGCCCCTCTGTGGCATTCCCATGGAGCACAGAGACCTTTACCAGATGCCCGAAACATCTCCTGGCTTCCCCAGCCTGCAGAACTGTGAGAAATAAGTTTCCTCATAAATTACTCAATAGTAATAGTCAGGCAGTAGTCTGTTACAATAACAGCAAATAGACCACTGAAATTCTGAAGTTCTGGCAACTGTGCAAAGGAGCCCCTCCCCCGCCCAGCTCCCCCAGTCTCTGCAGAGACACTGACAACCCTTCGACCTCTAAACTCGAAGACGTTAGTGCAACGGAAGAGACTATATGGGGCTGGAGAGATGGCTCAGAGGTTAAGAGCACCGACTGCTCTTCCAGAGGTCCTGAGTTCAATTCCCAGCACCCACATGGTGGCTCACAACCATCTGTAATGAGATCTGGTGCCCTCTTCTGTCATGCAGGCAGAACACTGTATACATAATAAATAAATAAATCATTTAGAAAAAAAGAAGAAGAAGGGACTATATTACAACCCAGTTGTGACTTGGGTCTCATATCACTAAAAGCTATTTAAGACACAGCTGTGATAGGCCCGGCAGGGGTGGTACACGCCTTTGATCCCAGCACTCAGGAGGCAGAACCAGGCAGATCTCTGTGAGTTCGAGGCCAGCCTGGTCTACAGAGCGAGATTCAGGAAGGCACCAAAACTACACAGAGAAACCCTGTCTCGAAAAAACAAAAACAACCAAACAAAAAAAGACAGCTATGGTAGTGTGTGCCTGTACTCCCAGGACTTTGGAGGTAGAAATGGGAGGATCCTGAATCAGAAGCCGGTTAAGGCCACGTAATGAATTCAAGTCTAGCCTGGGCTACCTGAGACCTTGTCTCAAAATAAAAAATCAACTAGTCAGTGTTGTGTTTGCGTAAATTTTTTGTCCTATTTTATTTCCTTTTGATGTTTTGAGACAAGATCTTCTTATGTGTCCCAGACTGAACTAGAACTTGGGATCTGTCTACCTCAGCTTCTCAAGTGCGGGAATTATAGGTGCACAATACATGAACTATTACATATCAAAAAACACTTGAAGTGTCCTGGAAGGCATGCTCCCCAGGCTAGAGCCTCCAAAGATGCAAGAAACTCCCAGAACAGGGCTGGCTTTCCTAGGCCCAGCCCTCACAGTGTACATAAATAACCATTCCCCTCCTCCTCCTCACAAATCAAGTGAGTATGTGTAGAAACACTCTGTAAACCAGAGGCACTAAACAAATGCTAAAGACACTGTGCAAACAAAGAACCCACTCATCCTGTGGAGACACCTGTGATGGACTTGATGACGGCTAGGGACGCCTGTTGTTACCTTAGACAGCTGCCCGGTAAGTCAAACAGGCCCTGGGACGCGGGAACAGAACGAGCCTTTTGTTAAGGGCACGGGGAGGGGCAGGTTCTCCTGTCCTGAGCTGGAATCAGTGAGGCCTCAGAGATGGGTGCTCGCCTCTATTCCAGAACGTCTATAGGTTAATCTCACCCCCGACTCCACACCTGGATGACCTTGGTCTTGACAAAGTTTCACAGCAGTTTATGATAATAAGGCACTAGATAAAGCCCCGCATTTTAAACCCAGACTGCATTTGCACTGCCTGAGTAGAGGATGATATGCCCAGCGTGTTGGGAAATACCAGACCAGTTCAAAGTCTGAGTGGATCACTTAGCCATGGGTGACAGTATGTCCAGGGCCTGTCTACGGGCAGAGCACGGGTATGGGCTGACTCAGAGGCGAGGCTGAGAAATGGAAACTTCAGTCACTTTGGGGAGCGGAGGAGCAAAGGTTCAAGAGGGCAGGGAGAAGAGAGGTGGGGTTCACCTCCAGTAACCGTGTTCCTGTATTACCATGAGAGCCCCATGCTGCCACAGGCAGAGCCCCTTTGTCTAAGTTAGAGTTTCTGTTGCTGTGACGAAACACCATGACCAAAAAGCAAGTTGGGGAGGAAAGGGTCTAGTTGGCTTATACTTCCATATTGCTGTTCATTGTCTAAGGAAGTCAGGACAGGAACTCAAACAGGGCAGGAACCTGGAGGCAGGAGCTGATGCAAAGGTCATGGAGGGGTGCTGCTTACTGACTTGCTCCCCATGGCTTGCTCCCCATGGCTTGCTCAGTCTGCTTTCCTATAGGACCCAGGACCACCAGCCCAGGGATGGTACCACCCACCATGGGCTGGGCCCTCCCCCATCAATCACTAATTAGGAAAATACTTTACAGCTAGATCTTATGGAGGCATTTTCTCAATTGAAGTTCCCTCCCTTCAGATAACTCTGGCTTGTGCTGTTAACATAAAACTAGTCAGGACACCCTTGATCAGAAGAACGTGTCGTACAGTAATGGTTTTTCTCCCATGGTGCATTACTGTGCTTGGATTGCTGAAGCAAAACACCCCCAAAGAAGGTGGCTTAGCCCAGCAATGGTGGCACACACCTTCAGTCCCAGCACTCGGGAGGCTGAGGCAGGTGGATCTCTGTGAGTTAGAAGCCAGCCTGGGCTACAGAGGGTGTTCCAGGACAGGCTCCAAAGCGAGAGAGAGAGAGAGAGAGAGAGAGAGAGAGAGAGAGAGAGAGAGAGAGAGAGAGAGAGAGAAGCAGGGCCTTGAAGTTCTATAAGGACAAGTAATGCACAAAAACCCTTTTAACCCTGCAGGTGCCCACAGCACGTCCTCAACGGTGACAATTACATGCCCAGGGTCAAGGAGCCCAGGACTCTAGCTGCCAGCCATAAGGTATGCCATCCATTGGACTCTAGCTCATTCCAGGATTTCCACGATGCAGATATGGCCAGCAGCACCCAGGAACCCCAGACGTGTGCCCCTCGGAAACTGTGTGAGGTGGTCCCTAGTTGTTTTCAGCGACTGAGTTTTATGATACCTGGTGTGAATCAACATGTAACAGTGCCAGCTTCCAGTACCCTGCTGTCTCCTCCGGCCCACCCCCTCAGAAGAGAATCTGGACACAGTGCAGACGGCAGGCCCCACTGGGATCCAGTTCAAGACTGGACATTGGCAGCTCCTACACCAGGTCGTCTTAAGAACAACTAAAAGCACCACAAAAAATCCCTCCTTTTTCTCTTTGACTGGCCTCCTGGAGCTCGGCCTGGTGCCTGGCTGTGGGTCTCTGCATCTGCTTCCATCAGTTACTCTATGGTTCTATGGTGATAATTGAGTATTCACCAATCTGATTACTGGGGTAGGCCAGTTCAGGCACCCTCTCCTCTATTGCTAGTAGTCTAAGCTGGGGTCATCCCTGTGGATTCCTGGGAACTTCCCCAGCACCCGGTTCCTCCCTATTCCCATGATGTCTCCCTCTATCACGGCATCTCTTTCATTGCTCTCCCACTCCATCCCTGTTCCAGCTTAAGATCATGATGAGGAAATCTATAGAGACAACCAAACCAAACTGGTGGGAACTCATGAAATTTAGACCAACACCTGTGGAGCCTCCACGAGTCTGGACTAGGCCCTCTGCATAAGTGAGAGAGTTGTGTAGCTTGATCTGCTTAAGGGGCCCCCTGGCAGTGGAATCAGGATCCATCCCTGGTGAATGAGCAGGCTTTTTGGAGTCCACTGCCTATGGTGGGATACCTCACACAGCCTTGAGGCAGGGGGAGGGGCTTGGACCTGCCTCTGCTGACTCTCCATGGGAGGCCTTGCCTTCTTGTAGGAGGGTATGGGAGGTGGGCTGGGGAGGGAAGGTTGGAGGGGCGGGAGGAGGGAAGAGAGAGATCTGTGATTTGTAGATGTAATTCTGAATGGTCTTATTAAATAAGAAACACAGAGCCAAATGCAGAGTTAAAAGCCCAGAGATTAGGCAGCAGCCAAGGGCTAAGACCGCCTTCTTATGCCTCACAATCACTGCTGTCCTTCCCCTCCGAAAGAGACCTACTTCCTGTGTGTCTGTATTTTTATTGACTTTCTGTTCTGCCTTCTCATTGCTTGTAAACCCAACCACATGACCTCCTCGTCACTGCCTGTCTATACAGACCTCCAGGTCTCTATGGTTGGTATTGAGATTAAAGGCATGTGCTACCACTGCCAGACTTCTGCTAAATGGCTTGCTATTAGCTCTGACCCCCAGGCAACTTTATTTATTAACATACAAATAAAATCACATTTCAGCACAAATAAAATATCACCATAGTGATTGGTATGTAAAATGAATAAAAAAAAAAGTCTTAATTAAAAAAAAAAAAGCACCACAAAGGTGTCTAGGTTTTCGGCACAGTCCAGTGAAGAGAGTCTACAGAGACGGTTGGGAGAAGGTCAGGACAAGGCTGGGTGACTGTGAGTTTCTTCCATGAGTGTGGCTCCCGCAGTGTGCTTGCACGGCTATACCGTGGTGATGTGAACTAACACCTATTCACGCCGGATGAGGCATCCATGGACCAAAGAACAATTCCAAATGGGGTCTAGCTTGGTGAACTAATGAATGTCTTAGAATCACTAACAGGAACCTAAGTGACTCAGACAGAAGCCCACCATTCCATCCCCCATGGAAAAAGAGAGCCAACCAGGCTTGCCCCTGCCGACCTCCATGCTCAGACAAATCTACCAGGCCACCATTCCTCCCAAACTCACCTTTGGTTCTGTTGGGAGGAAATTGTGGTGTGTGGCCTTTCCCGAGGGAGATGTCAGACGATGCCTCTTCACCACAGACAGGACACTGACAACAGGACAAAGAAATGGTTACACCGAAAGTCTCGTTTGGTGAACCCTGTGCCTGTTGCTCTCACAAAAGCTGGGTCCCTGGAGTTCCCTGCACAAGTTGTAGGCAAGTCCACTGAAGAGTTTTCTCCTTCCTGGCCACTCTCTGCTGCTTGTACAGTGCAGCCTCGGAGAAGGACCTTGTAAGTCCTGAAGCTTCCTTGTGAGGCTCTGTGCCTCCCCCGGGAGGGTTGTTGCCGTTCAGAGCAAAGAGCTGCAGAACACACACGCGGGTCTGAAGGTTCAAGGCCACAGCTAAGAGACCCGCAGTGACTGGGTTAGGGACTCATGCCCATGATGTTCCAGACCTTGGTCCAGTGGGATCCTGTAAGAGGACCTGATCCAGCCCCATCCCAACCCAAGATCTGCTTCAGAGGAAGCTTCCTGTTTGACAAGCGGGAACAGCCACTAACACAGCCAGGGGAGGGCAGCCGTCAGCTCACAAGCTGGATGCTGAGGAGAACAGCAGCAGAGTGTGAAGGGATGAGGCAGGGAGGGGACCAGGGAGGTGACACCTAACTGGGGTCTGGAAGGAGAAGCTCATCTTATTCATGGGTTTTCAACGCCCTCCGTCCAGTTCCTGCCTCCACATCCCCAACTTGAACGTACTATACTGAGAAGTATTCTGAACGAAGCCAGGCCTTTTCCTGTCTAGACTTGGTCATTTACATGCAGGAAAAAAAACCTCTGCATTTCTTCCTTGGAAAACTTCCAAAACCCTCATTCACTCAATACCTACTCATCAAACACCACCTTAGAGGAGGCACCATTAACAGTTCATGTCTTGACTCGCTCCACAATCCTTTCAGGTAAGGACCAGTATTACTGCAATTTTTATAGATAAGGAAACTGAGGACGGGGGAGGAGCTGGGATTTGGGCACCAGCAACATTCTTCAGAGTCGGGAGCCTCACAGTCGCCTCTGTAGCTCCCTTTTTGACAGAGCACTCACTGAAGACAGTGGACTAGCCTCTGTTCTGTCCTCTGTGAGCTGACGCAACACTTCCCCTGTCTGAGACAGTCTATGCGACCACAATTGGCTCTGTGGCTCCAGCCTGTGGCCAGAGGATCTGTTCCCACAAGAGGGTGTGTGAGTGGTGTGTGTGTGTGTGTGTGTGAGTGTGTGTGTGAGTGTGTGTGTGAGTGTGTGTGTGTGAGTGTGTGTGAGTGTGTGTGTGAGTGTGTGTGTGTGTGTGTGTGTGTGTGTGTGTGTGTGTGTGTGTGTGAATTATCAGAAAAAAGAAAACAGCAAGCCCAGGGCAGCTAAGGAATGAGCAGCATGCCTCCGTAGCAAGGCACTTAGCTTCTCCCGTGGGACCTATAGAAACATCAGAATGAGGGAGCTAAATTAAACTCTAGATTTTCTACTTCTACTATTGCTGGGACCAAATATTTGATGAGCAACTTACGAGAGGAAGGGGACTGGGGACGTGGCTCAGGGGGTAAATTGCTTGTTGCACAATCATGAGGACCTGAGTGCAGACACCTAACGCTCATGTAACAAGCCAGATGTGACTGTGTCATGTAACAAGCCAGATGTGGCTGTGTGCACCTGTAATTCTGGTTCTGGGAGGTGGAAACAGGAGGATCCCAGGAGCTTGCCTGGCTGGCCAGTCTGGACAAATCAGTGAGCTCCAGGTTTGGCAAGAGCTCCTGTCTCAGAAGCTAAGGTGCAGAGCAATAGAGAACTCCAATGCAGACCTCTGCATATGCAGATGCATGGGTGCAATAGAGGACACCAATGCAGACCTCTGCATATGCAGATGCATGCATGGGTGCATGGACCCACAGCCAGATATGGAGGGAGGGGGCTGATTTGGTTGATGGTTTGAGGGATTATAGTCTGTCACAGCAGGGACGGCTTGGCCATGGAATGGCTCATGGCTGTGACAACAGGAGCCTGAGGTGGCTTGCCTTGATGACACCAGCAGACTGGGAAACAGATCCACTGGAGCTGGGCTATAGCCCTCAAGGCCCACCTCCAGTAACCTACTTCCTCCAGCACAGTGATTCTCAACCTTCCTAATGACACAAAGCTTGCCTTGGGAGTGTGTCATATTTCACAAATCCATAGGCATTCCTTAGAGCACAGGATGGGACAGCGTGCCGCACAGCTTATACCTCAACCATTGAGCACCAGCCTAGTCCTGCCCTGAGACCCACCCTGGTCCAGGGAGGCAGAGAGAAGGCTCCTGGCAGGCTCTGTCCTTCCAAGGAGGCATCAAGGCTCCCCTATTGCCCAGGAATGTAACTCCTTCCTGCCCGGTGCCCTGAGTCCTTTCCCCGTGGACCAGTGGGTTCATCATGGACTAAAAGGGCAAACGGTGACTGGGTCTAAAAAGAATAAATTCAAGTTCCCTGTTCTGTCTGGCCCCATTTGAGGAGTTGGGAACATGTCCCATTCACTCCAGGAGGAGAAACAACACAATCAAGATGGCCGCGCAGCAACGCCTCTCTCAGAGGGGGACCATTCAACCACAGTGCCTCAAACGGTGGAATCTGGAGACGTGAGGTTTCTCAGGAACCTAGTGAGGCTTGGGGCACCTAGCTTATCCCTCTCAATCTACCCAAGGCGAGAATGACAGCATCTAAGATTTGCCACAAGCCATTTAGAAGCCTGGGACAGCATGTGGCCCAGGTCTGCTAATTGGATTCCAGAGTTTCTTTTTTATCATCTCTGGAATCGCAGGGCCTTCCTGTATTGCTGAGAAATCAACCCACAAAAGCCAGGACCTCCTCTATAATATTGCAGATAACATTTGGCCCAGTGACGTCCCAGACGGTCACAACCGGGAATAACAAGCCCCTAGCTTCCCGAGTGAACTTTTGTATGTTTTCAAAACTCGGCATTAATGCAACGATTTCACAACAACAGAATTATATGTTCTTGAGATCCGCTCTGTACAGCATGCAATTTGGAGAGGAGCATTAGTAGGGAGCATGGATGGTTACCACTATCTAATCAAGGAAGCAGAGCTTGGCTCCAGGGAAGGTTGAGACTTTTCAATTGTTTGTGACAAATTTGCATAAATGTACTCATTTAAAATGAAGGGAGGGTGGGAGAGAGAGGGGAAGGGGGAGAGGGGGAGAGGGAGAGAGAGAGAGAGAGAGAGAGAGAGAGAGAGAGAGAGAGAGAGAGAGAGAGAGAGAGAGCGCTCGCACCCAGGCTTCTAAGGACAGACCTTGCTTCAATACACGCCTCACTGAATCTTTGTGCTAATTGTTTCTCTTCCCAAACTGGCTTCCAAGAACCTTCTGGCTATATCAGCATTTAAAGACACAAAACTGCAGGGTTTTGGAGCCAAAATACTTCTGATTAGCCTCAAGGCTCAGATTCAGTCTCAGATCCTAGTGACCCTCTTTCGTATGTTCCAGTGGCTTCTGGGTAAGGAAGAACAAGGTTTGTCACAGTCCAGGCAGGACCTAGGATAGTCTACAGGAACAAACTTGCTTCCCCTGCCCCTGGATATCAGACTATTGAAACAATAGACCCGTCCAAGAAATTAGAATTTCCCCAGAAGTCTCATGATTGGAAGGAAAAGTCTGGGTGGGACCCTGGTGCCAGCCAGAGGGGGTCCCATCTCTGTGATGGACTGGCAGGACCATGCCTTGACCAGAACTGATTAGTTATGTGGGCTTCTTGCTCTCTAAGCTGAACTTCACATCAGTATCTCGAAGATGGATTTGGGGGAGGACCCCCCCCCATTTCTTTGTTTCACTTCCCAATGTGATTTTTTTAAAAAAATCTCCTCTCTCCGTTTTTCACTATTACTTGTCTCTGTGATTGGCCTGTTGAGGACAAGTGACTGAGCCCAGCTTCTCAGGGCTGCCAGGGCCCAGGCTCTGATCGGAAGAGCTCTGGCAGCCGACCCATGATGACTGACAGGTTGATCCTTCAGCTTGTTCGGGAGTGAGCTACACAGAGATGGAAAAAAAGAGAGGACAAAGCTTATTGCTTG